TCCACCTCTAAAACAGCTTGTATCCACTTTTGTCGACTACGAAGGTCACACGACGATCCGATATTGACACTGAAAGAGACCCCAATACGATACTACGATAGTATTAGAAAACTTGGGCTAATTTTCGACAAAAAACTATACTGGAAGGAACACATACAGGACCTAGCTACCAGATGCAAAAGAGCCACAAATATTATAAGATGCTTATCGAATATATCATGGGGAGCAGACAGAGAAGTACTTTTAACACTCTACAAAACATTGGTTCTATCTAAAATGGAATGGAATGTCTTTGTTCGCCGCAGCAAGGAAGTCACACATCAGAATCTTAGAAAAGGTCCATAACCAGGGAATCCGACTATGCATAGGAGCTTTCAGGACAAGCCCCATAACATCTATATATTGCGATGCTGGTATTCCTCCTTTATCATACAAAATACAAGTTTCAACACTAAATTATGCAATCCATGTGTGGGCACAACCAAATCACCTGAATCACCGCATTATCTTCAATGACGAAGTAAACTCGCTTTATCATAATCGACCAACTATTACTAGGCCAATTGGAGTAAGAATACAAGAACAACTCAGGACACTTGGGTATTCCCTTCCAAATGTATACCCTATTGGCTTCTCCAGAACACCACCCTGGTGTATTTCCCAACTAAAAGTACTTCTTGAATGCTCCTCAAATAAGAAAAGCGAAACTAACCCTTCTGTCTTTGTCCAATCCTTCCTAAACGTAATTAATACCTACGACTACCACTCAAAATAGTGTAGGAAGTGCATTTACAGACGGTGAAAATGGCCGAAGCTTCTCCCTAAACGCGATGTCATCGGTTTATCATGCAGAACTTTACGCTATCATAAAAGCGTTGCAGTACATAGAAAATAAAGAAGATGGTACCTACCTTGTATGCTCTGATTCCAAGAGCTCTTTGGAAGCAATTCAAAAACCCTACAGTACTGATCCTATGATCCAAATGGTGCTAGACTTACATCACGGTCTCAAACTAAGGAGAATGGACATCATCTTCGTATGGACACCAGGACACGTGGGAATTCGTGGCAACAAACTTGCGGACCAAATGGCGCGGAATCCCCAGGTGGCAGCTTCACTAGAAGACCGCACTGTCCACCCAAGTGATCTCAAAGCACACCTGAAAAATAAAATACTGGATGAATGGCAACGCACCTGGAGCCAAGGAAATGATAAATTGAAAGTACACAAACAACACATCAACAAGTGGTACTTACCCTCCTCGTTATCAAGACGGGAACAAGTTGTCCTAACGCGTTTGTGAATAGGACATACAAATCTCACACACCTCCATCTTATCGTAGCGAATCCCCCGCCTCGATGCAGAACATGCAACAACCAACTATCCACAGAACACGTTCTGCTCGAATGACCTTCCTATTATCAGGCTCGCCAACGCTATCGTATACCAAACACAATACCCGAGTGCTTCAAAGACGAGGCCCACATCCTGCGAGTCTTAGATTACCTGAAAGATATAAATATATTTAAAAAAATTTGAAAATTGTAATTCCAAATGAAGAACGAACCTTATTTTATAACGAATTGACCCAACACATAGGAAACCTATAATCCGGGATGCCCTGGAACAAAACAAATATGGATCAGTATCTATACTACATGTTGTAGGAAAGTACTTACTTACCTGTGTATCTTGCCTGAATACGAATGTGTGTACTCGAATGTACAAAACAGCTGCTGAGGAATATCTGAAAGATGGAAAGGAACATACATATTACGTACACAAATAAATCAAATATGCTATTGATACTTTCCCTGAAACGAAAAGAAGCACCCAGATCTACCCCTGGGTGAGAATAAATGACCTATATGGGAGGAGGGATACGGCAAATGACCTCAGCAGTCGACGCCGTGGGAATTAAAAAAAAATAATTATAATAATAATAATTATTATTATAATTATAATAATAATAATTATAACAATAATAATAGTAATTATAATAATAATAATAATGATAATAATTATAATAATAATAATAATGATAGTAATTATAATAATAATAATAATAATAATTATAATAATAATAATAATAATAATAATTATAATAATAACAATAATAAATATAATAATAATACTAATAATAATCCCCGCAGGGGGTATCTACTTTTAAGGCTGGGTTTCTAACCCGGTTTTAAGGGAAGATATACAGGGTGACTTTGAAGTTGAGTCATTAATTTTCAGATAATGATTGTAGAAGGAAGATAAACCAAAATATGTGTGTAAAAATAAAAAAATAAATGAAAAAAAATGTTACCTTGTTTAATAAAGTATCGTCCCGACAAGTATTTCAGTGCGGACCTGTATTTGATCGTGCGGTCTTGGAGCAGCATGCCCTGACCTGTGAGGTCTTAAGTCACCTGATTCACGAGCCCTTTGTACTACATTAACAAAGGCACGAGGGGTTGGTTGCACTCGATTGGGAAACCGATTCGCATAAATCCGTGATGCATCCGGGAGCATTTTGTAAAGACTGCCCCCCCGTAAATAAGAATCATGTCCACAAGTTCAGCATTTTCGTAAACATGTGTCACTTTTGATTTCGTTTGAGCCACGCAACAAACACTACTATTCACTAACGCGTTATCGACTGACGAAAAACATCGTGATAAACGTTTCAAATTCTTTCGCTTTTTTGTTTCCGATGCGATGAACCGGTCAGGCGGATTATATCCGTTGTCGCCAAACACGAACATATAATATTATTATTGAGACAGGGCGGTACTCAAACTTCCAAAGGGCTATAACTTTGTTACTTTAATTTTACCAGAAAAATGGTAAAGGAAAAAAACATTTCTTTTGATCAGATCTACTCACTGTTAAAATAAATGACTCAACTTCGAAGTCCCCCTGTATATGGGGAGCGTCGCCCCCACGACCCCAGGCAGGGAGTTCGGGGTTTGGTAGTTTATTTTATATTCTGCTAAACCCTGGGCTGTCCTTTCCTTTTCCCTCGTTTTTTCCCGTTTTCCCGTTTTCCCTTTTTTTATCCAATCCTAACCTACCGGAGGTGTCATCGGCTTAGAATTCTTCCTCCACTCCTCAAAGAAAATAGGCCAAAACCAAAGATGTCAGGTCAAAACAAGGAAATGGTACCCCAGGCGGGTAGAGCAGTATGCTCAGCATCCCGTACTGCTCCGGGAGTCAGCTCCCTGGATTCTGAGGGGGAGCACTTGACGTCAGTCGCACCAGGAAAGAAAAAGAGTGATGTAGAGACCGCGTTTGCTAAGAGCTCTTTACTGAGGCGAACACCACCATCTTCGCCAAAAGTGCCCGTATTGACACAAAAATTGGAAGTATCAGGCATTAGTGAATTGTCCAATGGAAACGAAGAAGCTAATTGTATTAGCACAGAAGATGCTACTAGGTCTTCATACGAAGGCACTAGTTCAGGAGAACATATATTCATGAGTGCGCCCTCATGGGCTGAAAACTGGAAGTCATTCCTGCTGATGATGGAGAAACAGAACCTTTTGCTGGAATCATTATAAGAGGCATTGTCGGGTGTTCGAGGACGGATGTTGAAGAATAACCCACAAGACGTCAAGATGGGAGTAGAGAAGGCTTTTCACTTGGTTAATAACTTAACTTCACTGACCAAGGACCTTAAGGGAAGGGGTCAGAGTATCCAGAAGGAACTGGCAATCTCCCCTCGTGAAAGTTTAAGGTACCGCCCTAGAGCAGCATCCACTGGCACTGCGATAGTTCGGCCCAGAGGCGAAAAATGGGAGGCATCCAGAACACCTGAGGAAAAGAGGGATCCAAAGAAAGCCAAAACTGACACGCTCAATCAACCAGCGTCAAAGGCGTCTCCAGGGCAAAGTCAGGACCACCACGAGCAAGGTAACAACGAAGAAGGCTTCCAAGTGGTTACCAATCGAAAGAAAGAAAGAAGGAAAGTACAGAAAGAGAAAAGAAAGGAGAAAGCCGCAAGCAAAGAGCATAAAGCGGACAAGGAGGGCAGAGCGGCGCCTTCAAAGAGAACACGTAAGCGCAGAACGTCAGAAGCAGTCAAAGTCACTGCAGACATCCTGAAGACTATGAAGGCTAAAGTAAATCCAGCCGAAACTGAGACAGAGATCTTGTCCATTAGAAGAACAAGGGACAATGATATGCTGTTTGTCCTTAAAAAAGGCGGAAAGGCTTCTGAGTTTGCCCACGCTCTGGCAGAGGCGGTAAAGGAAAAGGCCGAAGTCAAAAGTCTAACCTCGTTCAAGACCTTAGAGCTAAGAGACTTGGATGAAACCGTTACGGTAGAGGAAGTTATCAACGCACTCCACCAGAAACTTGACAAGGACGCAGTTGACATGAATTGTCGCCTATTTACTCGACGTGACGGCCTGAAGGTAGCACTTGTCAAGACTTCGGAATTCGACGCAGAACACTTGCTGAAGGCGAGACGGGTTCGTATTGGCTGGGTGAACTGCAGGATACGAGAGCATGTAGAAGTGACGAGATGTCATAGATGCTTGAGATTCGGACATATTGCAAAAGGTTGTGAAAAGCCCGAGAGACGCACCGCTTGTTGGAAATGTGGAGCCACAGGACACTACGCCAAAGCATGTCAAGAGGCCCCGAAATGTGTTACCTGCCTGGATATGGGTAAAACCGATTTCCAGCACGCCGCCGCAAGTAGTTCTTGTCCGATTTATCGAACAGAATTGATGAGGTTAAAGACCAAGAACTGAGGTTCCTGCAAATAAATCTTGGGAGAGGAAGGGATGCACAGCACCTCCTGATGCAGGTAGCCAGAGAAAGAAATGTCGACGTATTGGTTTTCAGTGAGCAATATAGGACGACCGATACTTCAACCTGGTACCAAGATGCAACGGGGAGAGCCGGTATACAAGTTTGCAATCCCAACGTTGAGGTCAAGGAATTCTTGGAGACAGACCAGGGCTTTCTATGGGTAGAGATCGAGGGGATCCGTGTTTATAGTTGCTACTTTTCTCCAAATGATTCTTTTTTAGAATTCAACTCGGAGATTTGTGCTCTGGAAGAGAGCTTGAATGATTCTAGGAGTCCTGTCCTGATAGCTGGCGACTTCAACAGTAAATCCCCGGAATGGGGAGATACTAGGTTAGATAGAAGAGGTACTCTCCTGAGTGAAGTGGTGTCAAGGAACGATCTCACTGTATTAAACCAAGGAGGAAGCCTTACCTTCAGACGTGGTAATGCAGGTTCTGTGATAGACATAACCATAGCAAGTCCACGAATAGCCCAACGAATTCAATATTGGAAGGTATTGGAAGAGGAAACATTAAGCGATCACCAGTATATAGAATTCACAATAACTGATGACACATCAAGAAACGAGGCCTTCGCCTCATCGCAACCCTCAAAACGCCCTTTGTGGAATACAAGTAGACTCGATGAGCAACGACTCGAGAAGTTCCTTTTGCAAACCAAAACTTTTTATGAGTTAGGCTGGGAAAGAAGACCTTGCTCCCTGGACGAAGCTGTGACCAGTGTTAGGCAGCAGATAGTTGCAGCTTGTAACTCTTCTATGCCAAGACGAAAGCTCCCAGGTCTTAAAAGGCGGTCGCTCTACTGGTGGAATGAAGAAATTTCTTTCTACGCACCGATTGTCTAGCTGCTACAAGGAGATACACCCGCTCGAGAGGAGATCCTTTGCTACTTGAAGCCTGGAAGGAAACCAAGAGGGCCTTCAAAAGAGAAATTCGTCTCAGTAGAAGGAAGTGCTGGAAGGAATTGATTACTCAGGTGGAGAGAGATACATACAGAATCGTCACTAAAAAATTGGGGATTCGTCAGCAGATCCCATGCTTACAAGATCAATACTGGGTTAGCTTGATAATAAGGAATTTGTTCCCGTTCGTAGCGAGAAACCCAAGATTGGGTGAAAACTGCCCACCAGCTAGTGAGGTAATACCTTTTACCTTGGATGAACTCAGGGAAGCTGGAAAGAGGCTGAAGCCTAAAAAAGCTCCGGGACCCGACGGTATACCTAACGAGATCCTCAAGCGGATAATCGAAGTATACCCTGAAATGTTACTACGGGTTTTTAATTTATGCCTTATAGAAGGAAGATTCTTCGAAGATTGGAAAGTACAAAAGCTGGTCCTGTTGAGGAAAGGAAACAAACCCCTTGACTCTGTAACATCCTATCGACCTATTTGCTTGTTAGATACGATCGGGAAATTCCTTGAGGAATTGATCCTACAACGAATACAAGCCCATATGCCACTTGAAAACGGCCTATCGGATAATCAGTTTGGTTTCCGCAAAGGTAGGTCTACTGTTGATGCTATTGGACTCGTAGTGGAGAAAGCACGGAAAGCAATGGCTGTAGAAAGTTCAGGCAAGCGAAAAGGATTCTGTGCACTCGTCGCAATAGATATCCGAAATGCCTTCAACTCCGCAAGATGGCACATAATCATCGTTTCCCTGGCACGCAAGAAGGTCCCTTCCTACATATTAAGACTGATAGTGAATTATATGAGTGACAGATGGATAACCTATGATACGGAAACATGGTCGATGTGCGAGCAAATGACTTGCGGCGCACCACAGGGATCGAGGATAGGCCCTCTTCTCTGGAACGTTATGTATGAAGATTTCCTACGAATGGAACTCCCAGAAGACACATCTATTGTTGGCTTCGCTGACGATGCAATTATTGTCTCCGCTGCCGCCAGTGTAGAAGTACTAGGAATAAAAGTGAATGATAGTCTGTCAAGAGCAAAGCGTTGGATGGAGTGCAGAGGCCTGCAAATGGCACTAGACAAGACTGAGGCTTTGCTCGTTACCGATAGGAGATCGTACTAAAATCCCGCTATCGAGATAGATGGCTACCGCCTAGAGTGGAAAAGGCAGATAACATACCTGGGTGTTGAGCTTGACAGGAGACTGAAGTTTGGCGCACACATCCAAAGGGCTACTCTAGGTGCAATAAAATGTGCCGCAAGCCTGTTAAGACTTATGCCGAACATTGGAGGGCCACGAGCATCTAAGCGGAAGCTGCTGGCAAGCGTTGTACACTCAAAGCTTCTCTATGCAGCACCAGTATGGTCCTCAGCACTTAACCATACACTACGGGCGAAGCTCTTGACTGCACAGCGCTGCGCGGTACTTAGGATCGTATCAGCGTACAGGACAGTATCAACAAGTGCGGTCTTAGTCCTTGCGGGAGTTCCCCCTATAGATCTTTTAGCACAGGAAAGGGAATATGTCTACAATCGTAAAAAAGAGTTGGAAGCAACACGAGATATCCGGGAAGATGCACACTCCAAGGAGACGATTCGGAATGAGGCAAGATACTTACTGATGGAGAACTGGCAGAGGCGATGGCGCGAGGACTCTGTCGGCAGGTGGACGTACAAACTAATACCAAAAATTACCAAGTGGGTCGAGAGGAGCCACGGAGAGGTCGGTTTTTACTTGGCGCAAGCGTTATCGGGGCACGGCTGCTTTAACGCTTACCTGAAAAGATTTAGACTGCACGAAGACGAAGGGTGTAGATACTGCGATGCTTCTGTGGATAACGCAAACCATACGCTCTTCGTATGCGAAAAATGGGCACAGCAGAGACGAACTCTTGCGCAGACTGTTAACTCAGCGATAGCAGCAAATACCATGGTGCCACTATTGCTCAAATCAGATAAAAACTGGAATCTCATTGAGTCTTTCATTACTAACATAATGGAACAGAAAGAAACAGATGGAAGGGGAGAATAGGACACTATCACAATTTCCCTAGATGGCTAAAATGGAATAAGCAGAATCGATTGTAGCTGAAGCCACAATAAAGGCGGCACAAGGGACCCCATCTATGATGGATAAAGCCGCAAGGTAGTACCGTAGATGGAACACCGTCTAGAAAAAGAGGAGGTTTTAGTGAGTGAGAGCCTCACACTGTAGCGATACATTGTCGAGTTGCCCAGCCGGCAATGCGCCGTTGCGTGCGGTAGGTACATTTCCTTCTCTCTAAACAAAAAAAATATACTAATAATAATAATTATAATAATAATATTAATAATAATTATAACAATAATATTAATTATAATAATAATAATAATAATAATTATAATAATAATAATCATAATAATAATTATAATTATAATTATAATTATAATTATAATTATAATAATAATAATCATAATAATAATAATAATAATAATATTAATAATAATAATAGTAGTAATAATTATAATATTATATGCTGATCAGCCGGCCGGCCGAGCCGCGAGTTCGAATCTCGCCTTCGCCATGGATGTTGTGTGTTTGTTTTAGGCAGCAGCGGTGGCCGCAGTAGTAGACTCTTGATCAGTCGCCGTGCGCTGTGCGGGTTCGAGTCCCGTCCCAGGAGAAATTTTTCTCTTGGCTATGGATGTTGTGATTGTCCGTAGTTGGTAGATGGTCTCTGACTGTGGAACGCGGAGGTACCACCCGGCGGTTCTCGTAGGCGGAGCCAGAATGTGTGCATGTTGCATGCACACGTGTTCCCTCGCCAGAGTCCGTGTGGCGTCCCCCCTTTCCCATGTATCCCCCTATAGCCCCACGGTACCCAATGGGTGCTTAGGCCTTAGGCCTTCGTGGTAGTTGGAGTATAAAAGAAATAATAATAATAATTATAATAATAATAATTATAATAATAATAATAACAATAATAATTATAATAATGATAATAATTATAATAATAATAATTATAATAATGATAATAATAATAATAATAATCATAATAATTATAATAATAGTAATTATAATAATAATAATTATAATTATAATAATTATAATAATAATAATAATAAGTGATCGGAGCCACAGGAGAAATACCTAAGAGTCTACATAAATATATTGAGAAACTAAATCTGCCGCAGAAACTATACCTCTCACTTCAGAAAGCTGCTATCTTAGGTAGTTGTCATATAGCACGCAAGGTCCTGAATGTAGCCACATAGACAAAGAGAAACCAATAGTCACACTCAGACGCTTGCAGTATAATGCCGCGTTTGAGGATACCACCTGCAGTAGCAGAGAATAGCTAACAGAAAAGGGAATAATAATGATAATAGTAGATGTCTTATGGGGATTCGGTCTCAAAACTTCCAAAATCCGCCACCAGAGGCGCTGGCGTCGCGCGCCGTTGACAGGTTGTTGGACGGAATCTGTAATCATGAGTTGGGGATTCCGCCGCTAGATGGCGCTGTCAAACCAAACGGAATCTGTGTGTCATTGGACACCTGTCATGCGTCATTGGGCATCTCACGCATAGATGGCGTTAAAACGTCATCTGTCATACGTCATTGGACACCTGTCATTGATGGGTTGGGCATCTCGCGCATAGATGGCGCCGATTTGTTTGGCGCTGTACAAACCAAACGGAATCTATGTGTCATTGGACAGCTGCCATTGATGGGTTGGGCATCTCGCGCATAGATGGCGCCGATGTCGCACCTGTCTGGTGTTGGCGTGGATTACGGGGGGCAACGTGTATACAGGGGTGCATCGAAAAATAGCGGATCAATGGACCGACGGTATATCGTTAAATCGTATATAGCAAGGCGTGACCTAAATAGCGTGGTGGGCTCCTCTGGTCGGTCGGTCGGTCGGTCAGAATGTCTCATAACCTGTATACGATGTACTGTTATTATTATACAGGATGATACCGTTCAAAATGAAACTTTATGTAGTAGAATGATGGTGGGGGGGTGGGGAGTCGAAGGAACCGACTGTTTTTTTTGTTTGTTTGACAACAGGCTGAATACGAAATAAACATAGCTTTCTGAAAAATGTATTTTTTAATGATATACAGATACAAGTTTAGATAACAGAGTTTTTAGTTGATGTAACAAATCCTCGCTGGGGCATGGTACTCCAAATAGAGTCCAATGAAATGGTCCGGTCGCAACAACTTTTCTTGTAAATTCATTAAATTTATAGTAAGTTGCGTGACGGAAAAAGTAAATATGGCCATCAATCCATCGAAATGCGAGAGAAATATCTTCAGGTAATTCAGGAAATATGTCTCTTATCCGTCCTCTGTTCAACACATCAGTAAAATCGTTAGAAAATTCTATATATGACATATTATTATAAAAGGTATAGGACCGTCCTGCGTTTGATTGAAAAATAGCATTGATTCGAGCCCTATCGGGTATATCAATTGAAAAATTATCAAGAAATTTAATGGTAGGGAATGATGCTGAGAAATAGTTGTTTGGAGACACAATGGTAATCAAGTCACCGTTTGTTGATTGGAAAATATGTTGTAAAGTGTATTGACGTAATTCTGTAGGAACATAATCGACAAGAAATTCAGGCTGAGATGGGATAATCATTTCGTTTAAGTCTAGTTTCCATATAAACATATCATGTGCAATATATAATCGGTAATTTGAAAACTCTGGAGCAATGGCTAAAAACATAAAATCTGGAATAATATCACACAAATTTTTGAGGATCGGCTGCTTACGAGTTGTAGATCTTATAGTTGTTGTTGTTTTTGGTATTGCTGATGCGGTGGTAGACTTTGGGATTGAATCATATTTGTTTTTTCTTCCATATAGATATTGTACTGCATTTATATCATCAACATCTAGACCACGAATCTCATGCTGATAGAAGGCAAACATAATAGCATTCGGAGAAGCACTATGTGCTATGCCGAGGGCATGTCCAATTTCATGAACCAACACCATAAGAAAACTAGTTTGATTTTTGGGTATATTAGGATCATTTCCAAAATACCAGCGTTCATTTATATCTAAATGGATTTCTCTACAGGTGCCGCTAGAGTCAGGAAAGTATGCATGTCCTAAAACGCCGCCAGCATCATCTAATGTCAATGGACATTCATCATTACCCATACAGTTTGCGCTAAAATAATGAGTCTTGCTAACCATGGTTATAGTAATATCAGGAGGATATAGAGTGGGATTGGTAACCATTGTAAATGTTAAGTTTGAAACATTTTGCCACATCTGAAAAGCCATTTCTGCATCTTTTTGGGCCGCAGGTGTGTTTCGAGGGAAATACCATTTCAGGTCATGTTTCCGAAATGGAAAACTTGCTCTAAATTCAGCATCACTGTATTGACAACGCGGACGATTCATAAATTCAATTGTTGCATTATTCAACAATCCATCCACTGGTAAATTATACTTTTCTTGCAAGTTAGTTAGCAAAGTAGAGAGATCTGTTGTATTATCGATGATATGTTCATATTGAGTTAGGTATACTATAGCGTCTTTTTCGGAGAAATCGTTGCAAAGCACGTATGTGAAAGTTGAAATAAAAAATAATACGTCTACCCACATCAACATCTTGATAGAGAATGATGTCAAAAATCTCAGATAGCAAATATAAATTCGTTTACCCCCCCAATCAAAATCTTGACTGAAAAAAAATTAGGCAGCAAATATACAATAATCATACACGAATTTCTATATTTCTAAAATTCTACTCTCATGTGCAACTTGTAATTGGAATTTCCGCCGGACAAACGATACATTCATGTATTACTAAGAAATTATATAAAAAATACTGCAACCGCAATGAATGTTGTTTTCTCGATAAAAATGGTACTGAGAATATGATGAATATAATATGCATATTTACGATACAATTATCTCATGCACGCGTGTGTCATCTCAACTACGTACTTATATTGAGCGAGCGCATGCAGTTTTCTCGATAAAAATGGTACTGAGAATATGATGCATATAATATGCATATTTACGATACAATTATCTCATGCACGCGTGTGTCATCTCTACTACGTACTTATATTGAGCGAGCGCATGCAATAGTCATCATTGTTTCACACTTAACGCACAACGCTGCAAGCTGCAACAACGACCGCAGTACAATTAGTGCTTCGAGAGAGACGAGAGAGCGAAAATTTTAAAAAAAGTAAGTGCTATTTTATTTAATATTTTTCTTTTTTTATGTCTCTAAATGCAACTGTTTTTTTTTTCGTGTTATGCTTCAAAATAGTTAGACGACTCAATTTTTTTTATAGATGGATTTATCAAAAATTAATGCTGCGTCTTCGATTGTAGACCGCAAACCTATCAGAAAATTAAAGGACCTACCAGTTGGGACACCATTTGCAATCCAAGCAGCTAAAGTGGTCAAGTCGAAATTTGGGGAAGCCGTGCTACTAGATTTAGGACCGGAAGTGCTATTTCTACCACAGCGGGTGACGGAAACGTACCAGCCGGTCATCGACGAACTTTTTCACGGAAAATACTCGATCATCTTCCAAGGGGAAGTGGACGTAGGGAAAAGCCGACCGCTAGCATCATTCAAAATAGTGGAAAATTAACAAAGCAGAGAACAGGAGGAGGACAGGGTGAGCATTTTTATATATTTTTGAGTAGTGTTTGCTTGAAAAAAAAAATGTCGTCTTTTCAAATGTCTTCAAATAAGGTTAAAAAGATCATCAAACAAACAGACGGTGTTCTACTATCAATTGTTAGTCTACGGAAAATTTTATTTGATAATTTTACAATCAGAGACGCGGAAGTGTGGCTGAAACGAATAGAAAAACAAATTAGATTATGTAAACGGGTAATTCGTAGTAGAAGGCAAAATAAATTATCTGTAGGGACCTGTAGAAAAGTAGAAACAAATTTGGGGCATTTTAAACATTTTAGAAAGTTGATTTTAACTAGACATATTGGGGCAGGACTTCACTTAACATTGGGTCAGAGGGTTAGATGGGAAAATGTAGAATCGAGCTTTCAAAGTAGAATAAAAACCGGTTCCATAGCTAACTTGCGTCATAAGGACTTGAATCAATTTTTAGCAGATTGTGTAGTTGTTTTTAAAAGGAAAATTAGGAATATTTTGAACACCCATTGTGCGCTCAAAGTAAATACAACATTTTGCGGGGAGTTTATTAGGAAATCGGGGGATAATGAAATTTTGGGAATTAAATATATTAATACTAAAAATCATATTATTGATACATCAACTCAAATAGACGAGTGGTTTAAGATATATGTTAAAGATAAACTTTTAAACGAATTATCGGAATTTGCTGAAAAAGATTCGGGATTTGCGTTAAATAAAATTATTTCCTTAGTTGTTAATATCAGTAAATATCAATTGGGAAACGGTTCATCTTATATTAGACTACCAGAACCGATTATAAGGAAAAATGCTTGTATAAACATTAAAAATATAGATCAAAATTGCTTTTACTGGGCCATTGTAAGCGCTCTTCGGACTCCTAGCAATAAAAGACATGCAGAACTAACCTCCTCATATCCACACTTTACTGACGTTTTACAAACAGAAAATTTAGATAGTCCTATGCTGCTAACAAAAATTTCAAAATTTGAAAAGATGAATAACATTTCAGTCAATGTTTACGCTTTAGAATTGATCGAAACAGAAAAAAAATCATTTTACATAGTAGTACCAGCAAGATTAACGGAAAATAAACGGGATACGCATGTTAATTTACTTTTAGCTCAAAATAAATATTATCCGCGTTTAAATGATTATGATGCTCCTCCACCAGCGCCAGCAAATGAAGATAATGATTCAATCGATGAAATTAAATATCACTATTGTTGGATTAAAAATCTTTCGCGTCTTATTAGTAGCCAGTTAAATAAACATCGTGAGAAAAAATTTATTTGCGATAGATGTCTGAACTATTTCCATCAGCAAAATAAATTAGTTGAACATGAAAAACTGTGTTCTAAATTTAATAAATATAAAATTAACCTTCCTAAAGAGAGCTGCGTTGAATTTAAAAACTTTACATACCAACAAAATACTCCTTTGTTGTTTATGCAGATTTTGAATGTCAATTAGAAAATCATAAAGAAAGTAGCGTCGTAAATTTAACTAAAACCATAAAATATCAAAAACACGTTCCGTATAGTGCTGGTTTCTATGTAAAATGCAGCTATGATGATAGCCTTTCTTATTTCGAGAGCTTTCGAGGTGCAGATTGTATGGATTGGTTTGCAAATCGTATGGCTGGTGTTGCGCAATTTGTAAACTCAAAAATAAAAACAAGCGTACCTATGATTGAAAAATTAGACACATGTAAGGCAACATCATGTCATATTTGCGGTAAGAGATTTTCAAAAACAAAAAAAGACATAATCGTTAGAGATCACAACCATTTCAGTGGAGAGTTCAGAGGTTACGCACACCAAGCATGCAATCTGAACTTTAGAAAATTGTTTGTTGTGCCGGTTATATTCCATAATTTAAGTGGGTACGATAGTCACTTTATGATTTCGAATTTATGTAAAAAAGGTCGCTTAAGTCTACTTCCCATCAACAAAGATAAATACATCTCCTTTACGCTGCACTCAGATGAAAATAACATTAAATTGCGGTTTATAGACTCTTTTCGATTTATGGGGGCGTCTCTTGATGAATTAGCTTCAATTTTAGCAGTATCAGAAAAGAAAATTTTACAAAGGGAATTTCAAAATTTAGATGAAGATAAATTCAAATTATTAACACAGAAAGGAGTTTTCTGTTACGATTACATTGATTCGTTGAAAAAATTAAATGAAACGACTTTGCCCCCAATTGAAAAATTTTACAATAAATTAAACGATGAAAGTGTAAGTGACGAGAAGTATGCTCATGCGCAATCTGTTTGGCAACAGTTTAACATTAAAACATTAGGAGAGTATTCTGATATATATTTAAAAACAGATATTCTGCTTCTTGCCGACGTTTTTGAGCAATTGCGTAAAAAATGTTTCTCCACCTATGGTCTGGATCCTGCGTGGTACTATACAATGCCCGGATATACGTGGGACTGTATGCTCAAATACACTGGGTGTAAGTTAGAACTACTAAAGGATCTAGATATGGTGAG